ACTGCATGTGGCCTTTCTTGAGGAGTGGCTTTTTTCTTGCAACCCTCACATGCACACAATGACCACTCTTTGTCATAAATTCCTGCAACTGCTTCAGAGTTGCTGTAGGCCCCTTGGTCGCCTCTCTGAGCAGTTTCCTCCTGGCTCTTTCATCCAGTTTGGAGCGACGTCCTGATCCAGAGAGGGTCTCTGTTGCAATACCTTTCACTTCTTAATTAATAGACTTCACTGTGCTTCTAAGCATTGATAAATCCTTTGAATTCTTTTTAGCCATCTCCTATCCTGACTTGTGCCTGTCCACAACTTTATCCTGGAGATCTTTTGACAGTGCCTTGCCACCCATAGTTGACTGTTTGCTTCAGTTGCACTACCAAGGACTGAAATGCTCCAGGAAAGCTCCTGGAAAAAAAAGTTTGTTTGTTTTCCTGACATGTTGGTGTTATATCTTTCACTTGAATGTTATAAGTTGCACTGAGTAAATACAGTTGGATAAAACAAAAACTGTGTCCATCTTCATTTCAGGCTGCAAAGCAACAAAATATGATTATTTTAAAGGGGGTGATTCTTTTCTATACCCACTGTACATATAAAATTGTGACTGTAATTAAGGAATAGTTCAACCAAAAAGTGAGTGTAATTCAGAAAAAAAGGCTATCAAATGGCTTTTGCTACATTGAACTACTTTTTATGTATTTATTTATTTATTTACTTACGCATCCTATTTTGAAGCTTGAAGGGTAAGTGTACAAAAAATGAACAATAACTAAATGAATGAATAAATAAAAAAATTATAAAACACCTATTTCATTTTTCATATTCACAAACTTCACACTGCACTGACACAATCTAAACATTGGAAATGAATCCAAAATTCTGTTCTGGCCAGAATGGCTTTCAGTGGAGGTGGTGATGAAGCGATGACTCCCTAGGTGAGAGTGGTATTGACCTGTCAGAGTCTATGATGGCTTCAATGGCCTTTCTAGCTGTGTTAGCACCTTCACACTTGGGCTAAATGTGCCCTGTTCCTTCAAAATGTCATAAATATGCAATTCTCTGACACATCACCCATTTCAAGCAAGCGTTACACAATGGTGGATATCAAGATACAAGTACAACATACATTATGACGGGCTGATGACAGTACAACCATAAACATGCTCTAACACGGACCCTGTTAGGACTATTTTTGTAGATGATTAATATTGTAGATTTAAAACAGTTGACACCTGAAAGTACAATCTGAAATGTGCTATCTTTGCTCACAGGCAGCTCTGGGCACTGAGTTTTCTTTTTAGCTAATCACCTGAACTCTAAATTTGACTAATTACACAAGAACACACAGCTCCAAGCCCTTTATTAGAGCTGTGATGTGAAAGGAAGAATAAGAGCACTCTAAATAAATCATATATATATATATATATATATATATATGTATGTATGTTTCTTGAAACACGGACCCTGTTAGGACTATTTTTGTAGATGATTAATATTGTAGATTTAAAACAGTTGACACCTGAAAGTACAATCTGAAATGTGCTATCTTTGCTCACAGGCAGCTCTGGGCACTGAGTTTTCTTTTTAGCTAATCACCTGAACTCTAAATTTGACTAATTACACAAGAACACACAGCTCCAAGCCCTTTATTAGAGCTGTGATGTGAAAGGAAGAATAAGAGCACTCTAAATAAATCATATATATATATATATATATATATATATGTATGTATGTTCCTTGAAAATAAAATAATTTCTTCTTCTAAATGGGCCATGCTAACCAGACAAACTTTGACCCCTCAAACATGTCCTGTCTGAAAACTGTGCATAAGTCCAGGTCTTGAGAGAGGTCATCTATGACAGGATTTTTGTATTTAATAAAGAGGCATTAAAGGGGTCATATGATGCGATTTCAATTTTTCCTTTCTATTTGAAGTGTTACAAGCTCTTGGTGCATAAAGAAGATCTGTAAAGATGTTCTTTTTAGCAACATCATATGACCCCTTTAAGGCTTTTGGCACAGGCTCATCCGATAAGAATAATGGAAAAATCAGGGGAAACAGCCTGAAGGGTACAGAGAGACTAAACGCATCAATGTGATCGTGGGATGTGGGAGATGAAAAATTGATGTATTGCCAAGGTTATAATCATCCATGAAAGGGTAGGCTGTGCCTATCCCAGTCACAGGGGCTCAAAGGCCAAATGCAAGGAGCTCTGGATAGGATATGAGATTTGGTGTGAATAGTGTAGAATGGTGTATGACACTTATTCACATACTCATATAGGAAGAACTGCTGTCAACAAAGGAAGGTCAAGTGTGCCCTAAACCACTCTATGGTTTTTAGAAATGATTGCTCATTCTTTACGATCTAGGTCAATGGGATTATGAATGAATTTTTCATTGCACATGTCAGAACAAAAGAGCTTGAATCAAAAACGAAGGAAAGCAGAGTGGCTCTACATACTCTTGAGGATAGTTCCGTATGATTTTAGGAAACCTGGTGCGTAGGAACAGAGCAGAATAAATGAATACTCACCCACGATTTCGCTGGATTCCTTGTTGTAAAGTTTCTTATTCCAGAACAGCATTCTCAAAAAAGGAAATGAGGTCAGCAGCACCAGACAGATTCCCAGGAACATGTAACCCGTAAAGGCCGCAAAGTCAATCCCCTAGAGGAAGAAGAGGGCGTGTTAATTTTCAGCCTTTTAAAAATTGTGCAATTAATTTGCTGCAGTATTTCATGAAATCTATTCTAAGCACTAAGTAGAGATCACATCCACTTTACTGGCTCTCCATATAATGTGGATGGAGGCCTTGATTACATTTCATCAACAGAATCATATTCAGCATTTTAATGCTTGCATTTAAACACTTATATAAGGTTTAAATGAGCACCTGCATGTGGCACAAATCCTCTTAAAATGCTCGACTATTTATTCATTTTCATTCATATCAAGAGCACACAGCCCTCTCGACTGAACATCTAGCTTCAGATTATATTTTCTTGCCTGTGCAGCCCACCCCATCTCTCATCATAACAAGATGGCATCACATTTTCAAATGGCACTACTGATAGAGATGTGTAAAATAGGTTTTTGTCACCTGAAATCTAATCCAATGACTTATCTTCCAATATACCGCTGCTGTATAACTTATTGTAGTGAGGTATCTTTGCTTGTTTACATGGTGACATGTGTGCATAAATAGTACAAAGACAGTATACAAAGAGAGGCACAAATGCTTGTTTTTGTATGTTGGTTTCAAAACCCTAGTTTAAAACTCTCTTTACTTATAATAATTTATAAATACCCTTTATAAATACACTTTTTAACTCATCATCATATCACATTTTAAATATTGCAATCTATATAATGTATTAATTACAATATATAGTAAAAGCAATGATTTTATATTTTTGTATGACATTTTTTTGCTGTTTCACAAATTGCTTGTGCTTTATAATTGTTTTACTGTTTAAATTGTGATTGTAAATAGCAAAAAGTCTATAACAGGCTATTTAATGGCAGGTTACCATTGTGACAACTTAGCACCAATATCATTTTAAAAAGTTCGACAAGGTGTTAAAGAAACTGTATCTTTTTCTTGGGCAATAATAACGGCAATAATGTTTTATTGTAGGAGAGACTTTTTTTTTTTGTACCTATGGAGAAATGGACCCTGCGAAATAAGAAATGAGTAAAAAAAGATG